CAGGGCACAGGGCAGGTAGTGGGTCAACCGCATTCGCCGAATCTGGGGTCCGCCGGGCCTCGTTCGTACGCGTACTAGTCCTGATAGCGACACCCAAGCGGTTACCCGCGTACCCTCCCGATGCCAACGGTTGGGGGATATTCCTGATGCCGTCCTGGACATCAGAGTGGAGGGCAGAGGCAGGGGTCCCCACCGTGGGAGTTTAGTCAGGGCAGGTAGTGGGTCAACCGCATTCGCCGAATCTGGGGTCCGCCGGGCCTCGTTCGTACGCGTACTAGTCCTGATAGCGACACCCAAGCGGTTACCCGCGTACCCTCCCGATGCCAACGGTTGGGGGATATTCCTGATGCCGTCCTGGACATCAGAGTGGAGGGCAGAGGCAGGGGTCCCCACCGTGGGAGTTTAGTGGAGCTGAGAGGTGCGCAGGGGCCCAGCCCAAACCTCAGGACAATCGTGCCTCCCGGGCCCGGGAAGAAGGTGGGGACTCAGGGCCGCCCCCTTCCGGACATGCACCGCCTCCAGTCCAATCTCCCAGCTCGGCTGACAACGGGGGACAGGGAAGGGGACGGGGTGGGGGGGCCTGCCCTCGTGGCCTGGATTTAGCGGGAAAACTATTTCTCTCTTTGCTCCCATGAACTAAACACATGCCTGTGCAGCCTTCGACTGGGCAACCGGACGCCCCAAGGGGCTGCGGACACAGCGACAGGTCCAGAGCGCCAAGAAGGCTTGAGTGTCCGCCTGGCATGACCAGAAAAGGCTCCTGGAGGGACTTGGGGGAGGGGGCTGAGTCACCAAGGAGAGGGATGGGGTGATGAAGGAAAGGGTATCCTCAAGGTCGGACAGTCTCTCCACTGGGCTGGTGACTTGCAGTGCGGAAGCGAGGCAACCTGATGGCTGGGTGACACGCTGGAACCTGGCGGTGGGGCGCTCGGCACCCCGGCAGAATCCTGGACCACACTTTGGCGTTCCGAAGTCTTCCAGTCAGGGGAGCAAAGTGCAACACGTGACCGCAGGCCGGACCCAATGGAGGAGGGAAAGTGACACAGAGTGGAGTTCGTGACAGAACCGGAGTTAAGGTGTGGATTGAAGTACTGGATCGATGGTTACTACAATCAGTAATCGTCCTCTTGTTCGGTAAAAGGATCTTCCTGTTTGAAAATTCCTTTTGGAGTATTTAGGATAAACAGCCACGATGTATACAGCTCGCTCTCAAAATGGTTCAGAAAAAAAGTATTCTGTTTCTGCAAAATAGAGGAAAGAGAGGTGGGCATGGTGACACACTCCTGTCATCCCCACACTGGGGAGGCTGAGGCAGGAAGATCACTGAAAGTTTGAGGCCAACCTGAATTACATCGCAAAACAATATTTGCCAAAAAAATCAATCAATTAAATAAAACAGAAGAGAATAATACAAAAGCAAGCAGGATACAATGTTTATAGCTGGATCTGGGAATGGGTACATGTGCTTTGTTTTTGCTATAATTACTCTGTAAGAATGAAGTGATTTTCTAATAAAAAGTGATACATTTAAAACCCATGACACAGAGGTCAGCGAGTCTCAGGCTGAGACTCAAGAGTGCTCAGGTGCCAGAGAGGGGCCCGCGCAGCTGGGCCAGTGTGGAGACATCATCTCTCCGTGGCACACTTTCCCTGGAGGAGCAGATTTCTGGTCACAGCTTATGGGTCTGAATAGCACTGGGGGGGCTGCCCTGTGTATCAGGTGCCCTGAAAAGCACTGCTTGGCACCGGGCAGGTGGTGACACAGAGCTGCATCCCCAAGGTCCTTCATTAGTTTGAGGAGAACCACCTCACCAAGGCTAAACCTCCTTCAGAGAGGCTTGCCTGTGACCAACAATGGGTGGATGACCAGCCACCTATGACCAGTGGGGGATGAGCCAGAAGCCCCAGAGCCCCGTCAGGGTCTCAGGGAGGTGCTGCTCTCTCTTCCCTCTGGGACTCTGCTCCCCTCGCTGCCTGGCGCAGAGGCTGACCCCAACCATAGATCTTCCTGCACATAATCCATCTCCTCAAATCTGTTAGTCTGTTTCCTGGGTCCCAACCCATGACATAAAACAGGAGCCATATTTAAAAAGATTTAAAAAGGAAATAAAAAGCCAGGCATGGTGGCACATGCCTGTAATCCCAGCGCTTGGGAGGCTGAGGCAGGAAGATCGCCACGAGTTCAAGGCCAACCTGGGCTACATGGCAAGACTCTGTCTCATACAAACAAACAAACAACACCAAAAAAGCAAACCAAAGAAGTGGCTTGGTCCATTTCCACCACTATCAAAAAATACCACAGAGTTGAGGGAGAAAGGAAGGAAAGGACAAGAAAAAAAAAAGTGAAAACAGAAGAAAAAGATGGAAACAAAGCTTTTGTACATAGGGAAGGGAAGGGACTTGAGGCGGGGAACAGGATAAAATAAAATTTGTTTAAAAAAATACTACAGAATTACACACTGTTGTTCCAGCTACTGGGGAGGGAGAGGCAGAAGGACTGTTTGAGTTCAGCAGTTCAAGACCATCCTGGGGTATCACACTCCTGTAATCCTAGCCCTCAGGAGGCTGAGGCAGGAGGATCACTGGGCGTTCAAGGCCAGCCTGAGATACAGAGTGAGACCCTGTCTCAAAATGAGAGAGAGAGAGAGAGAGAGAGAGAGAGAGAGAGAGAGAGAGAGAGAGATCAGAAAGAATTTTTTCTAAAAACACAAAACACAAACTAGGTATTTAATAAAGAACGATGTTTATTTGTCACAGTTCAGGAAGCCAGACGTTGAATATCGAGGCACTGGCAGAATTAGACTTGGTGAGCTCCAGTCCCTGTTTCCAGGATGGCACCTCACTGCCAAGGGGCAAACACTGCATCCTCTCTGCTGGAGGGAACAGACGGGCAGGAGAGCTCACCCCCACTCTCCAGCCCTTTCAGGGGGTGCTGATCTCAGGAGGGCTCGGAGCTCATGGCTGCGCGTCACCTTCCCAAAGCCACACCTCTGCTGTCGTCACACTGAGGGCTAAGTTTCCAGATGAATTCTGGAGTGGACACCGTCTTTCAAACCCCGTGCTTCCCAGCAGGGAGCAACACAAACCGAAGCATGGCATCCGTGTGCTGAGGAGCTGAGAGGAAAATCTTATTCTGTCCAGAGATGCATGGAGGCTAAACTCAGAAGGGTTATCCAGGCGTGGTGGCACATGTCTGCCATTCTAGCTCTCTGGAGGCTGAGGCAAGAGGATCACCTGAAGTTTGAGGCCAGCCTGGACTACTTGGAAGACTCTGCCTCAAAAAGAAAAAAAAAAAAAAAAAAGCTGGGCATGGGGGCACGAGCCTGTAATCCCAGCACTCGGGAGGCTGAGGCAGGAGGTTCGCTGTCAGTTCGAGACCAGTCTGGGCTACATAGTGAGTTCCAGGTCGGTCTCAACTACATAGTGAGACCCTGTCTCAAAAAAAAAACCCAAAAAGACAAAGTCCCTGGGCAAATGCAATCATGCACTGCACAGAGAGAGGGCAGACATGGCTCTAGCTTGGCCCCCGAGTCCTATTCCACTGGGACACCATCCAGGCACCTCTGTCACCTGGGTGAATTTTCATCACTGTCCACCACTGCCTGCCACAGCATCTGGGCCCTGTTACCCCTGGGCACAGGAGCCTCACCACCAGATGCTGGTTGCTGCTGGGCTGGCCTGGAGGGCAATGGGACAAAGCTTTGTCCTAGGGACAACCAGCGTGGATGACGTTGCCCCAGGAGAGATCCTGACAGGGCTGAACGCAGCCCCACAGGTCCCCTGGCCTGGATTCTACCACATCTTGTTTCTGTACTTTTTTTCTGAGATTTGGGTGGTTTGTATTTTTACTCTAGTGATTACTTTTATAATTACCATTTTATATAATCCACTTAATTCTATTACTTTACTCCTACGGTCCAATAGCAGTGTTATGCAACTTAACACTCACTATGTAACCCAGGCTGGCCTCGAACACACAGTGATCCTCCTGTCTCAGCCTCCCAAGGGCTGGGATTACAGGTGTGCACCATTACTCTCTTTTTCCTTTTTTTGGTACCAGGGATCAAACTCGGGTCCCTGCGCTTGTGAGGCAGGAGGCAGAACCACTGAGCCAAATCCCCAGCCCATTGCCATTACTTTCTTAATTGAGCAAATGTGTAGCCTTTTAGTGATGGATCTGGTGGGGAAGAGGTATAAATCTAGCCAAGGAATGTTAGTGTGGGCTATCTTGGGTGACTCCAGCTAAGACTTAGCCACTAAGTCTTAGAAGTTGCAATCTCCTTACAAACAATTTCATCTCCTTTCTACCTATGTTTGATTTCTTCTAGCCCACTTCACATAACACATCTTATTTTTTCATCCTCTTCCCTTCATCCCTTGATCTCCTTCCATTTGAGAAAGGTTTATCTGCCTCATTCCCTATTAGCCTTTATTTTGCTCTTTATTTATACTTTGGGTTTCTTTTTTTTTTCTTTGTTTCTTTTTGTTGTTGTTGTTTTTGTTTTGTTTTGTTTTGTTTTTTTGAGACAGGGTCTCACTACGTAGTTGAGACTGACCTGGAACTCACTACGTAGCCCAGGCTGGTCTCCAACTCACAGCGATCCTCCTGCCTCAGCCTCCCGAGTGCTGGGATTACAGGCGTGCACCACTACCTGGCTCTTTTTGGGTTTTTTATATAAGAGAAACCGTGTTATATCTAAGCATGTGTGTCTGATTTACTTCACATGCACCCTACCGATGATTCGAGTGTATCTTTCTTTATGTCAGAGTAATACTCCATGGTGTGTAAATACAGGTTCTTTATCCATTTATTTGTTAGTGGATATATAGGCTGCTCCAAGAGTTCGCTATTATGAGTTGTGCTGCTATTAACATGGGTGTGCACGGATCACTGTAATATGGTGTGTTTAACTCTTTTGGGAGGATACCTAGCAATAGCTGGGTCAAATGGAATTTCTGGTTCTAGCTACCAACCCTGTCATTACCAACAGCAGGCCGGGGATTCGGCTCCGTGGTTCCGCTGCCTGCCTCACAAGTGCAAGGGCCGGAGGTCGATCCCCGGTGCGACACCAAACATAAATAACTAAATAAAGTAACACTGTGTCATTTTATGTCCGCCACTGCTGACTTCTCTGACCCCTCCGCTCTTGTTAGGGGTCCGTGTCGTTCACCTTCCTTATGTGACACCGGTGCGTGTGCGCAACACATCTTCCCTTCCCTCCCTCCCGCCATCTCCCGATCCCCTTCCTGTTTGAGAGACATCAATCCCCTACTTCCTATTATCTATCCTTCAGTTTGCTCTTTATTTTTCTAACATCAGGACTTACAACCGGGGATTTAGCTCAGCGGTTCAGTGCCTGCCTTGCAAGCACAAGGACCCGAGTTCAATCGCCGGTACCAAAAAAAACCCCCACATTTTACAGCCTTTACTCACAGCCATTCTTCTTGGATCTGATTTAACGCTAACCCCAATTTAAATGGATTCAGTCCCTCATCATCTGTTCTTCCTCTGATTTCTCCATATGCTTTCTCTTTCTCTCTTTTTTTTTGTTTTTTTTGTTTGTTTGTTTTTGTATTTTTGTTTTTTTTGAGACAGGGTCTCACTATGTAGTTGAGACTGACCTGGAACTCACTGTGTAGCCCAGGCTGGTTTTGAACTCACAGAGATCCTCCTGCCTCAGCCTCCCAAGTGCTGGGATTACAGGCGTGCACCACCACGCCCGGCTCTGTTTGCTTTCAGTTGGTTGGAAATAATCCTCAAACAGTTTCCTTGGGAAGTTTCCTTTGACTCTTGTTCAAAAACATGTGTGGCTGGACATGTGATCCCAGCACTCGGGAGGCAGAGGCAGGAGGATCTCTGTGAGTTCAAAACCAGCCTGGGCTACACAGTGAGTTCCAGGTCAGTCCCAACTACACAGTGTGACCCTGTGTCAAAAAACCATGTATCTGCCACCTTCATCCACAGACAGAAGACTGGCCCGTGTGTGGTTCCTTTTGCAGACTGCTGCCTCAGAGCAGTGCCGGGTGTCCCGGGGAAGGCGACTGCTTTGTGTCCTGAGCACCCTGTCCTCCTGTCTGGTACCCAAAAGGTTCTCTTTAGGGACTGCCTTAGTGTCACCGACCAGGTGTCATTTTCTTGGTGTCCGGTGAGCCTTTTCAATCTCTAAAATAAAGTCTTGTATTTTGGGACTTTTTTCCCCAATACTGTTTTGTTTTGAGACAAGATCTTGCTGTGTCGTCCAGGCTGGCCTCAAACTCTCAGCGATCCTCCTGCCTCAGCCTCCTGAGTGCTGGGATTACAGGAGTGCGCCACTGCACCAGGCTCAAACAGTGACTTCACAACCTGGTGCTAAGTTTGGGCTCTCAGATTCAAGGCTCAGAACCCGTTGCTTGGCCAGCTCTGGATACAGGGCGTGTGGATGCACATCACCCTGTCATGACGTGCTAGCTGGCTCCCAAGTGATGCAGTCAGGGCCAGTGGAATGGGTGGCTTTGTCTGGGGTCCCAGAAAGGGAGCAAGAGACAGTTCATTCCCTCTGTGGTCGGCTGAACAAAGCCTCCAAAGGAGTCTATGACTGAATCCCCAGGACCCGTGGATATGGCAAACAATGCTCTCCTCTTGTGATCGCGTGAAGATGATCATCCTGACCACCCAGGGCCCAGTGTCGCCCGGGGCCCCCCAGGCAGAGAGCGGCTGAAGACACCACGTTGCGGGCTCTGCAGATGAAGTGACTGCAAGCTGATGGCTATGGGCCCCTCTGTGTGCCAGGACGGGGACCAGGCTCTCCCTGAGGCCTCAGGAGGGGCAGCCTCTGGACTGCATCCCAGCAATGCCCAAGTTGGCCCCCAGGAGGAAACACTGGTCATTCACAAGAGCTCAGCTCTGTGGCCTCACCACCTGGCAGGGCCTACCTCTTAGCACCACTTCTGGGAGGAAGCTTGCACTTCCTGCCTTCCTTGCTTTTTGCTTTTTTCTTTTTTTTTTTTTTTCCGTACCGGGG